TACGCTGATGTTCTCGAAAGGTCTCTGCTTGTGAGGCTATTGCCGTAAACAACCCTGCTGTATTTTAGGTCCAGTATTCACCCATATTAAAAACACACTGGATCTGAAGAGGTAGTCTCATGCTTGCTCAAGTAAGGCACACATCCTACAAGCTTATTTTAAACTTCTTTTGAGACATGATTTGTGGCACAACACTGTAATAGGGATTAATGTTACTAAGGCTACCTGTTTAAATAAAAGAAATGTATCCTGGTAGTGAATGAACGTTTCAACAGTATCAAAAAGATACTGTCCATTCATTCTTTTCTTAAATTTAATTACAACCTAAGGACTGTTATTTATGGTAGTCTCAGAATGCCTCAAACATGAATCTGCTTTTAACCTAACCCTTTTTTACTGTGGACCTCCGAGTTCCCTCTGCTTCCAAGCAGCAGCACATCTGCTTTGACAAACAGGGCAAATCATTGTTTTCCTCTGCGACCCTGCAAAAATTGTCAGCAGCAAGCAGAACGCAAGAGGTGAACAGCAGTTCAAGTTGATCAGCTTGCACATCGGAAAGCGAGCAGTTAAACTTACTGCATTCAGGAAGGACTTTCATTTTGCAGCCAATCAGCAGCTGGCTTAAGAAAGTTTTCCACATTGAAAATTAATCAAGATGAAACTGCAACGAACTGAGCTCCAGCACATGAACCTCCATTAAGGGATTCTGGTGACATCAGAAAGCCTGAAAACAAAAACTTAGGTAAGCACCAGAAAGCCTCAGATGCAATTCTAACCATGGGATTGAAAAGGTGCTTATTATACATTTTAACAAAATAGATGATCAACAGTACACAACAGGCAATAAAAATCCATTTGAGAAAAAAAAATTCTAACTGAAAAAGCAGACATTTAACATTTTCTCCTACCCCACTTCAGTATGTACAGAACAAATATAAATCAAAGTCTCATTTCTTCTGTATTCCTGTTCTCCTGCTGTTTTATAAACTTCTCCTTCTCCTCATTTGCTATGACATTTTGGCAATTGAAAATTATTTACAGTATAGAGAAGACGATGGGGGGCAGGGGGAGCAGAAATCACTTGCAGGCCTGGTTCTTGCTACCTTTAAATACACTCAAGAGATTTCTATTTCTTAAGGGCAAAGGAGTATCTTTTTCAGTTAGTAAGAAAGTTTGGACAACACTAACTTGTGCAAGTGATACATCTGAAGGGAACATGTCTGGTTACGTGTATGGCTGGACCAGTTTCGACAAATACAAACCACGTAACTCCATCCGAGTGGCTGCAATGCCCCAAACAGTCTGTGGCCATGCTCTTGACTGACCTAGTATCTTTTTTTCCAACACAAACTGATACTGATGCACTACTTTGCAGAGAAAATAAGGAGTGGATTGCAGTTTTCTGAAGTACATGTTTGGGAAGATAAATTAGCAACGAACCATTGTAAAACAAGTGCCACAGTAAGGAAAGAGGACAAAAGGAATTACTAACACTGAAATTCTTGCTAGCTTTAAGCCGTTGATAATGCTTAAAATTAGTTCTGTAGCATGAGCAGCAATTAATCAAACATCCTGACTATTCCCTGCAAGACAGGCAGCACTGCATGAACTGCTATTGCAAAGAAGGAAAAGAAATCAGAACCATGCACTATAGCTCTTCAGCATCCACACTGTTCCTCCAGAGTAAAGAAAGGAAGCATAACCACTTCAGCATCGGTAAAACTCAAAGCTGCTTTCTGCCCATTCACCCACGAACATACACTGGTATCCTATTCACAGCGGACATTACACATCATTTCCCTAGATGAAAAGCAGCACAGAATAAGTAGGTGGTATGCATAGGAAATCAAACTGCATACACTGGGTGTACTGATGAGAGAATTATTTTGTAGTATTACTTGTAGGTAACAAAAACCTTCAGTAAATAAGTCAGAGAAGAAGAACACTCACTGTGCAACCTGCTTATATGTCAAGTATATTGAAATGTGAGGCAAGGAAAAACACTTTATTAGCTGAAGACCAGAAGACAAATTGTACATCTAATAATATAGTAGTTTTAGTACTATTATGTTTAAAGTTATAACAGATAACACGGGGAAGACGTACTCCAGCCAGCCCCTGTAGAAGCAGCTGTCAGAAGCAGAGAGAGTGAAAAGCAGCAGAGCTAAAGCAGTTTTTACCTCACAGCAGCTGAAGCAGCCAGACTAATTCCTGTGTGCTAGAACAGGGCATGTTCCTGCTAGTGGAGCTGTACCTCGTGTAAACGCAGCAATACAAAAGTACAAGAACATAAATGTAGTTTGAAAAGCACTTTGTTTGGCACAGACTGAAGAAGGGCTTAAATTACAAATGGGCCCATACACTACAAGAAATTATAGAACGCATACTTCTACCTTCTGATGAGTAGCAGTACCTACACGGTAAAATTTGAAGTTACCTTAACATTGAAAACGTTTGAAGTTACCTTCAAAACACAAAGTGGATAAAGTCATAACTACAGACGGATCCAGAAGAGAACTCCAAGTCTGAACAGCTGGAAGCATTACGGAAGTTTAAATCTGAAACTGAATCGAACCAAAATCCCAGATCTGAGCACATTATGGGCTAATTTCAGACCTACATCAGAGTTAAACTTTAGCAAAGCCCAGCAAAATTTAGCACCTCATCTTCTAAAGGATTAAAGTCATCACCATATTCTGCACACACACGAACTACTTTTCAAACCTTAGTAGGTTCCTTTCTATTAGGTCACTTCTCTGTCCTTTCCCCTCCTAGTATTTTCTGAAGTTCTTTCCTACAACTGCTTTTGATATTTAAATTTTTCCTCCTCCTCCCTGGATGCACAGGATTGCTTTTTTGATTTAGCCAATTTATTAGCATGCCACTGCACATGGTCTCCTCCCTATTATGTCATATTCCTGCTTTTATTTTGAAGTGGTTGAGTCACGATTTCTCTGGGTTTGTGAATTAGTTAACTGCCAAGAGGTAAAAATAATACAAACCAAAAATCTCCAAGCATCCCATTTGGAGGGAGTGTTTCTGAATCATATTGAAAAAGATGAATGACCTGAAGTTCATAAAACATACTGACCACTAAAGACTAAAAAATTACACTATATAGAGCTTGAAAACTTACAGAAAGAGAAGGGAAAATGACCCCCTGTCATAAAACATACCACTATTACTAATTCAGTAAGGAAACAAAAGAGCGCCTGTGCTTTTGAGATATATCTATGTATAAGAATGAAAGAAAACCCTGAGATACAGGATACTACGACTATATACCTAGCCTTCAGAGGAGACAACAACGCAAAACAAAACAGCTTGAAAATATTTAAAGGGAGAAAAAGAAGATGGTACTTTTTCCCTTAGCTTTCCCTCCCTCCTTCCTTTTTAGTCTTACCCAAAGAAGTAATGTGTGCAACGTTTTTTTAGCTTTTTTGTCCTCACAGTTTCCCAGGATGCAGCGCAGTTAAAGACAGTTAAAGAAACACCTTTATTTCCCCAGCCTATTCTCAGCTGCCTAAACCATCACTGCCTCAGTAAACACTTTAAATCAAACAGTTAACCAATAACATGTGCTGCTCATTAGCAGTGCCTGAAGCTCACCTGTATTGTTCAGTTTCTTTAAAAGGGCAGCATTCAAAGCACCCTTCACCCTAAGAAGCATTTTATTTGAGTTGTTATTGCTGTAAGCAGGAACCTAGCTGAAGGAAATGCTATTTTTTTAAGGCCATCTATGAAGTTTAAAAGCATTCTTTTAAAAAAGAGGCCCAAATAAAGAAAACTATGAACATGAACAAGTGAAGGAAAAAAAAGGATATTTGATGGCTGAGAAAATTCAATAATGTAATGCCAATACCTTACAGAAAACAAGCACTCTATTAATTACTCTCTGATGTTACCAATCCTCATCTTTAGGAGAAGAAGAAAATTTACAGAAAACAATCAGCCTGTTTCTGTCCTTCAGTGTCAATATCCATTATAAGCTGTATCTAAAACTGTCTTAAGAGTCAGGTCACTTCAGTTTTAAATACTCCCAGCAAAGCTGAACCACACGTTTTGCTACTTTGTGTGTCAGTCAAAGAAAGAATGAACTGTATCTCTTCCTCGGAGGCTCAGCACAACACTATAGCCTAAAGGCTACTGTCCCTTGAAACACCCGAACCTGCTGCAACCAGAACACTGACGGAAGCAGATGCACTGTAAAAAGAAATGGTGCTATGAGAAATGAGACGCAATTCAAGCTTTCCTTAGTCATGCTAATAGGTTAGTGTTTGGAGACAGACTCTATCCAGCACTTGTGCTTTTTGCTAGATTCCTAGCCTACAGCTACACGCTTGTAAGTCAATCTGGCCACATGCATGTGACTGAACTGGTGGTTTATTCTTACACATATTTCAAAATTTATTTTATTTTAAGCAAACCAAACAGAGAAAGGACAACAAATCTAAGCAAATAAGCTATGTTGATCTGGGGCAGATGAACAGAGTATGCATTCATACACAGACTCCACCAAACAAATTGCAAACAGCACATGTAGTCCCAAAAATAATCTGTAAATTGAACAAAAATGTTTAAACAGTGCTGTAAGCAATCTGAGCCCTGCAAAAACACTGGGAAGCTCTCTATTTAAAAGGAATGTATGTGCTTAACAGACAATTATAACCCAAACAAAGCCATCAGGCACAAAGTGGGAGCAGGCAGGACTGTAACGCTGTAGGCCCAGCCCATACAGATTGATGTTAGCAGGAATCCTTCTGACCGCCTACGTGGAAGACGGGTGTTTACAACAGGTCAAAGCAAATCCAGTGCCAGAACGCACAAACCCATCAAAGCTCTCAGGCAAGAGTGGGGGTACCTTGATTTTAGATGTGTGACCAGCACAGCACTTACTTCAGCTATAACTTCTTTAGTCATCTATAAATCAGAGGATCTTTTTCTTCAGTTTGTATTATTACTTTCACTGCTGCTATCTCACATTGTTCAGCAAAACCTACCAGTCAGATATTCCAGTACAGCAGCCATGTACACCGGAGCACCAACACCAATTCTGTACTTTGGGTGGCCTTTCTTAATGTAACGTAGCATTCTTCCAACAGGGAATATGACCCCAGCCTTTGCAGAGCGGGAAGTCTTGGTTGACTTCTTCTTTCCACCCCTGCTGGACATTTTGTCTGTATTGGGTCCGGAACAGCACTCTACATATTAGGAAGAAAAAAAAAGTTAAAAGGTTATCAATAAGGACAGATGCTATAATACCATATACTGAGTTTCAAGACATATCAACATATCGGGGTAGGCAGTGCATTAGGGTGCCTAAAACACACAGACAAGTTGCCTTTTTAGAGTGCATACAAGAACCCAAAATAATTTTCCACAGAATGTTTACTTGCCATTATAATAATTAATAATTTTACACAGTAAATACCTAAGCCAGAGAAATTGTTTCCTATAAATCTGCTTTGGAATTACTTTTCTGAAATTGCTAACAGATTAAACCCGGTACCATTCATGGAGCAAAGAGTGATAACTACCTAATGTAAAATAGAGCTTCTGCATTAAAGCAGAGGATGATTTCTGCAAGCAGACTGACACAACCCTCTGCTGTCTGGGAAAACCTCCTGACCAGGCATTTGAACAGCTGTGGTAGGACATTTACACTCATGAATAACTATGTTCCTAACTAGGAAAAATTGCATCCACTGAAGCTTTCATGAAGTGTATTCACCTTCCTTAAAAAACTAGATTTTCAAGCTGTGTGAACTTACAGAACAAAGGCCTATGCATGGCAAAACACATCTCCTGTACACTACATTTTCTATTTTTAGAAAGATCTGAAATAAACCCCTATAGTTTTCAACCTTCCAAAAACCAACTGTCTCCACATCAAAGACTGTATTTCTTCAACCTGCCCTCTAGGAATCTGATGAGCTTCAATCTGCCACATTGCTTTAATGCAACAGTGGTCTAAACACCCAGCAGATATCTGACAACTGTATCTCAGTTTATCTCGGCAAAGAAACCTACTGCTGATACAGCTGTCAAACATATTTTTTTTCCTCTTTGATTTCTGCTCAGGCTGTAAATACAAGATGACAGATCCAAAGAGGTGAAGGGTTTAGAGGCTCTCAAGGTATCATTGAAGGTTTAGGCAGTGCACCAGATTTTGAAATTAACTTGGAGGAAAGGAGACTGTCCCCATCTCCCCCTCCCTCCCGCACATCGGAGCTCCAGGGAAACCAGCCGCACACATCAGTGTTACACACCCTTCCATGCATCCTAGACCTTCCCTTGCTGCACAAACCCTGCCCAGTACAAATGCAGATTCGCTGGTGTGTTGATCTACTCCACAATGAAACCTTTTTGAACCTGTTTTCCCATCACACCAGTTCTCTGCTTCCCTTTTTGTTTTTCTCTCGTTTATTCTGAATTCTCTCGTCCTTACGAACCTAACTGTATTTGCCATACGTCCGAATCCACAACAACTAAGTGAGCTCAGAATTAGGCAAAACAGCTTCACCAACCCCACTCCTAAATTTTGCTAATTCTATTCTGTGCTGACGTATCCTGCAGTCTTTTAATCCTCAATGAGTCACCGAGATTCAGAGTACATAACTATCTGATGAAGACCTCTCAAGATAACTAAGGAAACATGAGTATCAAACATTTCCTTTCCACTTCTACACTCCATTCATCCAAGAGTCTACACTTGCATAGCACATTAAGTCAAATAAATGCAACGGACTTACTGCTTGTGAAAGATAAACGAAATAATCCCGTCTTAGTAGCTCAGATGAAAGGCACACTACATTTATGAAACTTGTGTCAAAAAGACAGGAAACTTTGGGAGGGGGAAGCCATCGAAAGGGCTCCTCCTCCTCCTTTCCTCTGCTGCAAACTCGGCTCTGTAACAACTATTATTCTGCAAAGAAGAGCACAAAAGCCAATTTTCTCGCCTTGAGAAACTGCCTAACTGGAGCTCTCTCCACTGATTTCAAAAACCTTCCATTTAATTGCATTTTGTCATCTAGTTAGGTCTGTCTTTGTTAGCAGGAAGGCTGGGTGTGGCTCCGAGTTGGCTACAGACTTTCTGCCAGAAATTATTTTCATAGTTCATAATCCATTCTCATCAATACTACAGATGTTTAATCTCACAAATATTAAAGAAATTCACTGAACCAAACACCTGGGAAAGCAGGCATGAGAAATACCTGTACTTCTAGCTCCCCCCATAATTCCTTTGTTTTGTAACTGAGAGGCAAATGAAGAAAAACATAATTTATCTAGGGAAACCCTGCAAGCCTTAAGCAGTAAACTTCTACTAATCATTTGTCTTACGAGTTTATGGGATAGTCAGAAGAGCTGGACGAGGATATGGAAATCCGTACTTCCTGATGCTGGGATTTTTCCTTTGGGAGAGTGTCATCCAGCCATCAGCTGCTGTAACATTTGGATCAAAGTATGGGTAAAGCATGCAGCAACACCGAGCTACTGCAAAGAGGCTTTGAAGGAGCCGGAGTAAATACAGCTCATCCAATCTAAAAATCCAAATGGAAGACACACACGGATAGCCATGATGTATCTGGTAACTGAGAGAGATGAAAGAGCACTGGCCTTTCATTTTTAGTTCGAAGAAAATGACTATTCGTAGAGAAGTAAGGGAAGTGGTTTCTTCACATGTCGAAACAAACGTGTCCTGTGTAGCACTGTCTCTGGACACACATCAGCTACCCAAAGCGATTAGTTTGTTGTGAACATACTGTCACCGGTCATGCTAAACCAACCTCCCTTATATCACCCTTGAGCAAAACACTTTGCTGTTAGTTTCCAACCTCTTTCACCTGGTGTGCAGAAGACCTTCTTCCCTTTAACATACTATTTTCTATCTCATTCTGCCAAGCCTCCTGTTATCTACAGCTATCTAACATGTGCCCATATATAAAACGGTGTCTTTTTTTTTCTTTCATAATAAGCTTACTTTATCACTTCTGCAAACTATAGAGGTCAATTTCCCCTTTTATTTTATATTCCTGGCCACACTGCCCCCATTAATATTTAGGATAACCCTTGACCCATCTTGACAATTACCCCAATTCTTTCATACTGTACATTCAAGAGCCTTCTCACTGTAAGTTTACTTGTGAAGAAAAACTTTGCCTGAACCAGAAAGGGGCACGGGGGAGTAAGCTTGCAAGCTGAAAAGAGCAAGAACTTCTGGAACTTTTAATATTAAAGGTGAAATGCAATAAACATGAGTTTCAGAGCTTCCTGTCTCAAGGATCCCATTCCTACAACACACAGTCAATCACTGTCTCTTTAGATCTGGGGGTGGAGGGAGGGAAATTCCAATTAAGTTTCAAGTATCACTTTTGATTTTGCCAACCATGTAATTTGGAAATGGAAAACGAGAGCCTGGCATGGAAGACCTTTTTTGGGGCTTAATTATGGATTCAGGATCATTACTTTGCAGAACCTGTTAGTCCTGCCTTTGAGCTGAGGGATGGCCCAACGAGCTTTCCAAATCTCTTCTCTACTTCTAGTTCTCCACAGCAAAAGAGATAGGAAAGAGAAGCGATTTCACTTTTAACAGCCACAAAAAAAAAAGAAAAGTTGAAGTTAAATCTAAAGAGCATGGTAACAGATAGAAACCCAAAGAAATGGTTCTCAAATGGTTTATCTTTGTAACACCAGAAACTCTGGAACGCTGCCAACATTAATGAACCAGAGCTGTTTGCTGAGTCACTGCTAGCCAGCAACCAAAGGGAATCTTACCACATCTGCCATAGTTCAGACATGATTTGAGCAAGACCATCTACAATTAAACGAAAAAAAGAAAATCACGGTCAATGGACCAGTCCTTTCCCTTCTTTCCTCTCTGTTGCCTCTGCAACACAATTACTGAGCAACTCTGCCAAACATGCAGTGTCTTCAAAGATTTGACTATAAAGTGATTTCATTTCAATGTGACAGTTCACAATTATTACTGTGCCAATCAGTGGATATCACTGAGAAGTCAACTTATCTAAGCCCACCTTTGGCTTCGAATCAAGTTTAATGCTACATTCTTCAGCAGATCTGCTGTGCTTGGACACAGATTGTTCTGGCTGCAGAAATCAGCACCCGATTCATAGCCTTTTGAGAGCCCCTTGAAGCCTGCAGCAAGATTCTTACTGCTTTCTAAGATCCCAAAATTCACAGAAATGAGAATTTGATGGTATATTAATTTGGCTTATAGCAAAGATTCAAGCTACAAGGGTCCTCTGCTGTCATGTCTTGCAAGCCAGAAATACATTTCCTAAGAAACAAAATAATGTTAAGGTGTGTTGATGAAATCGGTGTAATTAACATTTTTCTGTTTGAAATTGGCTGTAGCAGCTCTGGTTGGCCACATTTTTTGTGTGAAGACAGATATTCCACTAAACCACACTTTCAAATACCATCTTCCTAAAATGCACACAGGCATCTGTTTTTCTGAAAGGTTTAACATCACATAATTCTAAGTACAGCTTGCAAATACTGGTAAAGTGATACCTAATTTCCAAATACCAGTACTTCATTAGCTCAGTCAATCTGACACTTTCATCAAACAGCAGTAATAAACCCCCCCTGCTATTAATAGTTTTCAGGTACTCGTTCTTAATGACTTAACAAATTACTACGAATGCTACTGCTGTCAGGCAGGGACTTCTGATCATGGGCTTACACTGATGTATTCACTGCACACAGCGAACAGATGATTAAATTTCAATCTACACAATCACGTCACTAAGTGTAGTAGAATCCAGGAGACCATTACTACAACAAGATAAATACAAAGATTTAGTAATTATTTTTCTCTTATTTCCAGTACAAAGACGAAGCTCTCACAAGAGATTAACAATGCTATCTTCTTTCCATTGTTTCAAAAGATTAACAGTGTAAGTGCTGCCACTCTCTCTTAAATCTGTTTATGTATATAACAATAGCTGCTCGCTGAACTCTTTTTGAAAAGGTGCATTTGAATTTGCTTTGACAACTAACTTGCTCTGTTCTCAGCTAGTCAGAAGCTAGTCTGGCATATTTATAAGATGCACTGCTTATGGAGTTGGTATAAAATGGTCTCTAATAATGCTTGCCTAGCACAACAGTGTCTCAGTCTGTGACTGCAGTTCCTAGGTATGACAGTAATAAAAGAAGAGCTAATCACTCAGCT